AAGTTTATTTATTGATTGATTGATTGATTGATTGATTGATTTTTTTTAAATATATATTTTATTGATTTTTTAGAGAGGAAGAGAGAGGGATAGAAAGTTAGAAACATTGATGAGAGAAGAATCATAGATCAGTTGCCTCTTGCACACCCCCTACTGGAGATGTGCCCGCAACCAAGGTACATGCCCTTGACAGAAATAGAACCTGGGACCTTTCAGTCCACAGACCAACGCTCTATCCACTGAGCCAAATCAGTTTCGGTATGAAGTTTAATTTTTAAGGAAACCCAGGGTCAGACTTAATGTACCTAATTCTAAGGTTTAAATAAAAGTGGCGTACTGTAAAGCATTTTACTTATTAAAGATCCTTCCTAAACAAGTAGTAAGACTAGTTAAACACTGTGAAGTAAACCAACAGTTTAATTAAACATTACTTTATTATTAGATAAAGCTACACTTGTACATTAATATTTATATACCTGATTATTCTTTTAGGATACAGTCCTAGAAGTTAATAAAAAAGACTCATTTTTAAGCTTCTTTCTAATACATTGCCAAATTATCCTCCAAAAATTTACCTAATGAATCCTCCATCTAGCCATGCATGGTAGCAACAAAGGAAACTATTTAATCACTCTTAGCAAGACCTTTTTTAAATTATGTGCCAATGGGCAGGTTCCAGTCAAAATGAAGGAGTAAGTAAATACTATGCTAACCTCCTCCCATGACCACATCAAAATTAAAACTTAATTATAGAATAATCAACATGGAGAGCCATCTGAAGACTAGCTGAACAGAAGTTCTATAACTAAGGATATACGTAAGAAGCCATGTCAAGAATGATAGGAGGAGATGAGATACGAAAAGGATTGGTCCCACAGATGTGTCTGGCAGTTGTGAACTGGGAGGGGTATCTCAACTGAAGGGTCCCAGGTTTGAATCCGATCAAGGGCACATGCCAGGGTTGTGGGCTTGATTCCCAGTGGGGGACTTGCAGTGAGGGGTCTCAATCCCACACCAGGCTTCCCACTGGAGCACCAGTGCTAAGATTCTGTACATCCAGGTATAATGGAAGGCTAGTGGAAATCCAGGCATCCTCTTAAAGGGATGATAGAGATATACAGGGAGAAACTGAGTTGTGTGGCTTCAGGGCAAAGGCTGAAAGAATAGCTGCCACTGTCTCTTTTTTGGCCCTCCTCCTATACAAAAGGCAGGTGGGTTCCATCTTTCTTCTGTTGAACCTACCCCTACAGGGGGCAAATATGATTCTGCATTAGTCTGGTGAACATCACTAGCTCCACCCTGAAACCATGCCCTCACCCATCTCGCAGGCAGACAAAGGCAGGCAGCTATCCTCAGCCTGCAATTTTTCTTAAAAATTCTCAAAGTCCACAGGACCTAGGCAGGCAGTTTCATGAATGGTCTCAGTCTGAGGGTCCTCAGACTGCACTGGCACCAATTCTGAATCTACATTAACCTGGTGAATACCCACTCACCCCATCTTGGTGACTCTAAAACCCTACCTCACCCAACTCACCTCACCCAACTAGCCTATCACCTGAGGCTCTTCCAGTGAGCCTTTCAGGCGCTGGCAGTTCTAGAGGTGCAGACCTTCAGGTGGTCTTTTGCTGACCAGCCCCTGGTCTGGTACTGGTGGCAGCTGGTCATGGTTCATAGCATGGCCTCTCCCACAAATCTCTAGGCCTGGTACAGTCAGTTACCAATCATGGATAACTTTTTAACTTTTACCAGGTAGCTCCAGGCTGATTCCAAGCAGTGGCTAATGTTGGCCTGCACCCAGCACCTCTTAAGAAGCCCCAGAACTAACACACACTATGGCTAGCTTCAAAACACTATTCAATTAGCTCCATAGTCTCATTTCATGGGGTCAACCTCTGCAGAGTAGCTCACACACTGTGGTTCTGGCCAATCCTTCATAGCCAGTTGCCTGACGATCAATCCCACCCAGTGACATTCCAATAGCAACCAAGGCTCACTCTCACACAAGAGACAATCCTGGAGGACCTGGCTCATGTGATTGAAAAGACTGTACCATTCGACCTCATAGAATACCTCTTACGTAAGACCACTCTGCCAATACTGGGAGACACAGCAGATCTATGTAATACATAGAAACAAACTCAGGAAGTCAGCCAAAATGAGGAGACAAACATAAAACAAACAAAAGTACAGAAAAAAATCTCCAAAAATAAGAACTAAAAGATGTACATACACTCAAGCAAAGACATAAATGGCAAATAAGCACATGAAAATATATTCAAAATTTCTAGTCATTAGATATCCTCAAATTAAAATTACAGTGAAGGATTGTGCAGTGACAGTATTGTAGCCAATAAGGTTTATCTATGATGTGGTATTACTAATTTAAAAAATATATATAATGAAATATCACTACACTAGGATGTCTCAAGTCAAAAAGCAAGACCATATCAAGTGTTAATAAAATAAGGTTAGGAACTGAACTACTGCTGGTGGGAACATAAAATAGTATAAACACTTTAGGAAGACAATTTGGCAGTTTCTTACAAAGTTAAACGTACTCCTGCATTAAAATCCAGCAATTCCTCTCCTTTGCATTTACTTAAGAAAATGAAAGCATACACATAGACTTATATGTATATATTCCAGAGTAGTTTCATTTGTAACAGCCAAATGCTGCAAACAATCCTAATACCCATCTACTGGTAAGCAAATTGTGTATGTCCATACAATGGAATATCACCCAACAATAAAAAGAAATAATGAACTTTTACTGCCATGCTTGCAGTCACCAGCTGTACGGTAATATAACCTGGGGCTATTGGCTAAGTATTTCTGGACTTATGTTCCTAATCCTTTACAGGTAGGAGCCCTTACCTGGGCTGATCCTCCTGCCCAAAGTAGTCACTGATGATACTAAACACATTGGTCATTCAGGAGGACCACAGGTGGGACAAGGAAGTATAATTACATAGGGGTCACCACCCAGCTGCCCTTCTGTATGACACAAAATCAAAGAACTGCTCCTTTGTGTGTAAAATTAAAGAGAGGTTTCTGGCTTGTGAGGACACCAAAGGAAGGGACCATCACTACTTCCTCCTGGGAGAGGTGTAGAAAATGTAACAAAGAAATATACAAAAAGAAATTGATAGCCAGTTTAAAATGGAATTTCCATGGCCTAGACTAGAGCAAAGAATATCCTTACATGATATTATTCTATGAGGTCATTATAATTTTCCCAGATTTGGGTTATCCCTATTACCTATAATAGTTCCTTGCACCATGAGGTATCAATAAAAAATAATTTATTTTATTTTATATATTATATATATAATTTGTTGTTGGTGGTGCTTGGAGACCAAGGTAACACATCTCTAGATATTTTAGAATTACAATAGCATATTGCACAATTATCCTAAACAAACTTACAAACCAATCCTTTGAATGTCTGGCAGCAATTTAAAAACGACATGAAAGGACTTAATTCCTTCCACTGTGTAGAGGGCCCCCTGAGAAGGCTCCTGAGCATTCTATATTGGCCCCTCTTGTCCTTTTGGCCAAAAATGACGCTCTTCTCGTAGTCCAGGTGCCCACAGCTGTTCCTTGACCTTTCAGCTCATGCCGAGGCTGAAACACCATGGTGGCTAGTACCATGGATCTCTCTCCTGCCCAGTGGTGTGAGCTGGGCCCTCTCTGGAGAAGAAACATGGGTTCCCCGAAATATGAGATCAGTGCCTGGGCCTCGCCAGCAGGTGAGGGGTTCCTAAGGCAGGTGCTGGGCGTGGAGCCCTTGGGGGCATAGGCTACCAAGGAGACAGAACTAAACCTCACATCACCCTGCTTGGCTCTGGAGGATGGCTGGTTAGCCAGAGACGGGTAAGATTCCTCAGGGAAGGAAAAACCTACAACAGGCACAGTCGCAGAGGGGCCATCAGGAGAGAACTTGCAGGTCAACAGAGGTGAGGCACAGACCCTTACCACCGCCATCCCTGCAACTTGGCAGGCACTTGAACCTTCTCCCCTTCTGAGGGAGGTCTCCTGCTCCCGTGGCTGCTTTGCTTCCCATGCACAGCTCAAACTGGGACCCAGGTAACAGAGACTTGGCTAACAGAACTGCCCTCTCACTGCAACAAGACTTGTTTGAGAGGTCTTGTACCCATGGTGTGGGCAAGTGGGTTTTTAATATCCAAGTCCAGCCTAGTAGCAGAAATGCTCAGGCCCTTCTCAAGAAGGCAAATAATCATTTCCACTAATACTCACATGGTAAATACACAGCTAATGGAAATAAATGAATATTCTAGAAAAACTGATTGTACTGTACAAAAAGCTGTTCCTAAAGTGTTAACAAAAATTCTTATTGGCAGAGCAGCTCATGGTAAAATTGCATAACATGTAATGAACCTAAAGCAGTCATAGTTTAGTGCAAATAATTAAAAAGTAAAACCTATCAAGACTACATTATAAAATTTCAAAAAGCCTCCTATTATTTAAATTAAAAAAGGGGGTGACAGTGGAAGAATATCATGTAAGGAAAAATATCCTGCGAGTAAATTACATCTAAAAAATTTGTACTTTAGATTGGTAGTGGGCACATCCCCGGTAGGGGGTGTGCAAGAGGCAGCTGGTCGATGTTTCTCTCTCATCGACATTTCTAGCTCTCTCTCTCTCTCCCTTCCTCTCTGTAAAAAATCAATAAAATATATATATTTTTAAATTGTACTTTAGGAAATTAACCTTTATTCGAAATGCTAACACCATAAAAATACACACATGGTGTCAGAACAAGCCAGAGGAAAATCACTTGGTGGGGAAAAAAATGAAAAAGGATCCCAAGTCAAATTTATAGAAAATATCCCTTTATTAACTTTTGGTTGAGAATATGTTTGTATTTTTTCAGAAAACTACTCCAAGACCATCTGGATTCCTGTATCAGAGAGGAATAGACGTGCTCCGGCCATGAAGACAGAAGAGAAAGAATTCAGAGATGGAAGACGCTGACTCACCATTCCAGCAGACAGAAGCTGCGTGTTGCTGAAGGATGCTTAGGACCAAACCAGAGATGGTCGGACCTACATCATCACCATTTGTCCACCAACCTGAAATATCATGGCTTACATGTAAACATAAGAAACTTTTTGACATTAAAATCGGGACTCAAAAGAACTGTTGGCCCAGAAAGGAACACACTATAGACTGATTCATTTGCCTCTCAGCATAACCATTATGGCTTGTCTCAGTTTCGGTTCTTACATGGGTATTTCTTGGATCACATGATCTCACACATCTAGAGGAAATGATGAACAACATAGGCTGATGAACAAAAACAGACCCAGAGAAAGAGAAGCAGCGATCAGACTTTCAAACCTCAGAGGGAAAGTAGGGGATGGTAGGGGGAAGGGGAAGAGATCAACCAAAAAACTTGTGTGCATGCATATGGGCCTAGCCAGTGGCCATGGACAACAGGGGGTGGGGGTATATATGATGGGGAGGGGTTTGGGGTGGAAATGGGGGATGAGGACAATTATGTGATACCATAATCAATAAAAAAATGTTTTAAAAGAAATAATGAACTATTGATATACACTTCAACATACATGTCAAAATAATTGTGACAAAAGAAGTCAGCTCTGCCAAAAAAGTATATTCTTTAAAAAATTCCAAAAAAATAATATTCAATATTATTCATTAATATAAATTTTTAGAAAATACAAATGATCTATAATGAGAGAAAACAGATCAGTGATTTAGCAAAGCCTAGGTGAGATTACAAAGGGCCAACAATAGAAAACTTTTATGGGTGAGAGATATGCTTACTTTCAATTGTGAGGGTGGTACACATTAGATCATAAGTTATCAAACTATACACTTTTAAGTATGTGCAATTTACCACATGTCATTTATACCTCAAGAGAGTTGTTTTTAAAAAGTTAAACAAGGTGAGACATTTTATATAAGGACATGGGTAGTGCCATTTGGCCTAAAAATCCAGTGAATAACACTGTTGACCCTAGGGAAGGGATATTCCATAACAGCCCCCAAAAGACAGATGCAAAGTAGCAGATACTCTAGTTCAGGTAGGAGAAAAAAAGTGAATAAAAGCTAAACAAAATAAAAACAACCACAACTATTTGATAAAGAAGAAGCTATCTCTGGGTGTGAGCTATAGACTGAACAAAGATGGTCAGAGTGGAAATGAAAAGGAAGAGATGGAAAAAAGGAAGAATTTTATGATTAAAAAAAATAGAAATTTGGGAAAAGAATATTACTGCTGTCCTCTCTTCTGTAAAGTTAACTGTGTGAGGCTAGGGGTTCTGAAGGACAAAGAAGCATCCAGAGGACCAGTGAGGCTGAGCCTTCAAGTCAGAGCATGGGCTACCATGCTGCAGCAGATTCACAAAGTCCAGTCTCGGTAAATAAAGCATAGAATGAGATAATGCCATAGTGCAGGCTCGCAGAGAAAAATTCCACTAAATAAACTATTTTAACAAGATTCAAACCCAAACTAATTCCAATTTCATCACTAATTTTAAAATGTGAAAAAATTCTCATACACAGAAAATAAGACTTTTAGAAACAAGAATAACAACAAAACACACAACAACTAAAATAAGACTTTCTTTGAAAACTATATAGAACACTAACATAGACAATAAGACTTTCTTTTTTTCTTTTTTTGAATGTCAGGCTACAAACCATTCTTAGTGCCCACTGTTCTGAGCACTGAGCGTAGAAATAGCCACTTCCTCTGTGCCCTGGCATCACAGGTGCAGCACAGCAGCTGCATCTGTGGTGCTGCAGGTCCAGCACCCGCAAGGCAAGACTTTCTTTTAACACCAAAAAAAAGGGGGGGGGGCTAAAATGGTTTTAAATATTTAAAAATGTCAGTAGCATGGAAATTCCATTTATTAACTTAGCAAGATGATCTCCAGTTCCTTGTAATCAACTCTATTTCATAAATACATGGTCTGGCACAAGTATTTGCCTGTAACAATCTATATTTAGAATGAAGATCTGTATTGTGAAAGGACATCAGAAATGCAGTATCTAGCTCTAGTCGGTTTGCCTCAGTGGATAGAGTGTTAGCCTGCAGACTGAAGAGAGCAGGTTCGATTCCCACCAAGGGCACATGCCCAGGTTGTGGGCTCGATCCCCAGTGAGAAGCATGCAGGAAGCAGCCAATCAATGATTCTCTCTCATCACTGATGTTTCTATCTCTCTCCATCTCCCTTTCCCTCTGAAATCAATAAAAGAAATATATTTCAAAAAAAGAAATGCAGCCCTAACCGGTTTGACTCAGTGGATAGAGCATCTATCTGCCTTTGGACTCAAGGGTTCCAGGTTCGATTCTGGTCAAGGGCATGCACCTTTGTTGCTGGCACATTCCCAATAGGTGGTGTGCAGAAGGCAGCTAATTGATGTTTCTCTCTCCTCAGTGTATCTAACTCTCTCTCCCTCTCCCTTCCTTTCTGTAAAAAGATCAATTTAAAAAGAGAGAAAAGAATGCAATATCTAAAGCTTTACATGCAAGAAGAATTAAGATTTATTGCCCTTATCAATAAGGCTAATCTTATGAACCAAGAAATCAACCCCAAATTCTAATTCTATAATCACTCCCCTCAAAATCTACCCACCTTATATTATCCCAACTGCATGGACAAAGCATTTGTGCCACCCAGCACATACAACCTGTATACCTGTTTGGATGGTAGGATTTGCTCCAGGGTACATGTTGGAGGAGTAGGCAGGAGCTGCTGCTGCATAGCTCATGGGGAAACCAGCTGGAGAAAAACACACAGAATACTCTGATGTTATCACTTGAAGGAGTAACGATTTTACAACCAGAGTGGCCCACAGACACAGTCATTCTTACCTTCTTCATCAGAACTCCAGACCAACTTAGGCAGCCCAACAATACTATGTAACCTGAGCATTTTGTTTCTAGTGGTCTCCTTTCCTCAGAATTGTGATGTGTCAAATTCCTAATCATGTATTTCAAAATGTTTACAACTTTTTCCCTGGCTGGTGTGGCTCAGCTAGTAGAGTGTCATTCTGTACACCAAAGTGATGCCAGGTCAGAGCACATATCAAGATTCTGGGTTCCATCCCTATTTGGGGTGCATGTGGGAGGCAACAGATTGATGTCTCTCCCCCCCCCCCCCCCCCCGGCTTGCCCTTTCTCTCTCTTGAAAAATCAATAAAAAAGGTATTTAAAAAAAATACAACTTTTGTCAAAGAAAAAACTAAACAAAACCTAAGTTAGAATACAAAATAATACATATAGATATATACTAGTCAGAGAACTACCAATACTTAGGCAGTTTTAGCCTAGATTCTAATTCCATAATTTAAGAGCGATAAAAGCATTGGGTGAAGGGGCTCTAACTGTGACCATAGACCCATGGAACTGGCAAAAAGCCAACCTCACAATATACTTGGAAGCAACCTTGCATTTATTAATACTAACAAGGAATTCCTACCTAATAAGAGTAATATGCAAATTAAATGTCACTCCGCTACACCTACCAGCCACGCCCACCAGCCAATCAGAGTGAGTATGCAAATAAACCCAACCAAGATGGCTACAGCTACAGAGAGCAGGAGGGAGGTTTCTGTTTCCCAGGCAACAGAGGAAGCCAAGCTTTCCACCTGCCCTTGCTGGCCTAGGCCTCCACTCAAGGATACAAAGTTTTCAATTATAGAAGGTAAACAAATCCAAACAGAAATGGTGGCAGCCATGGAGCTGGAAAGAACGGGAAGCTAGGGTTGCCCCCAGCAAAGGAAGAAGCAAAGCTTTCAGCACACCCTGGCCTGCCCAGGCCACCACTTAAAGATACAAAGTTTCAATTATAGAAGATAAATTCCAACAGAAATGCCTGCCAGCCACAGAGTAATCCGGAGGCTTGGCTCCAGTTTCAATTGTAGAAGCTAAATAAATTCCAGACACCAAGGCCTCCTCTTGGGTCACTAGGGGGTGTGGCTGGCCTGCAAACCACCACAGGCCCCTCGCTCAAGCCGCCGTACACCCCAAGGGAACCCCCACCCTGAACTGGGACATCCTTCCGGGCAAACCAGCCATCCCCCACTTATGCACCAGGACTCTATCCTATCTAATAAAAGAGTAATATGCAGATTGACCATCATTCCAACACACAATATGGCTGTCCCCATGTGGACAAAGATCCTGCCCCGATGTGGACACAAGATGGCCAGCAGGGAAGGGCAGTTGGGAGGCATCAGGTGTGCAAGGGAGAGCAGTTGGAGGTGATCAGTCCTGCAGGGGAGGGCAGTTAGGAATGACCAGGCCAGCAGATAAGGGAAGTTGGGGGCAAACAGGTTGGCAGGAGCACTTAGGCATCAATCAGGCTGGCAGTAGAGTGGTTAGGGGGTGATCAGGCTGGCAGGCAGAAGCGATTAGGGGCAATAAGGAAGGCAGGCAGACGAACAGTTGGGAGCCAACAGTCCTGGATTGTGAGAGTGATGTCCCTCGAGGGTTCCCAGATTGGAGAGGGTACAGGCTGGACTGAGGGACACACTCCCAATCCATGCATGAATTTTGTGCACCAGGCATCTAGTCCTTTATAAAACTAATGATTCACCAACAGTGCACAAGGGTTTCTTTTTCTCCACAATCACATCAACACTTTTCTTTAATTAAATTATTATTTGTGTACATATCTTACCATTTCCTCCCCCGTCCCAATCAAACTCTCTCTCCCCAGAGTTTTGTGTCCATTTGTTGTACTTATATGCATGTATACAAGTCCTTGGGTTGATCTCTTATCTCCCCCAGATCTCCCTGCCCTCCAAGCTGTAATTTGAGTCTGCTTGTTGCTTTACTGTCTCTAAATCTATCTTTTGGATAGTCAGTTTATAAAGTTCTTTCTTATCCATAAATGAGTGAGGTCATGTGGTGTTTCTCTTTCATTGACTGGCTTATTTCACTCAGGAAGATGTTCTCCAATTCCATCCAGGTTGCTGCAAATGATGAGAATTCCTTCTTTTTTATGGCAGCATAGTATTCCATTGTGTAGATGTACCATGGTTTTTTGATCCAATCCTCTGCTGATGGGCACCTAGGCTGTTTCCAAATTGTAGCTATTGTAGATTGTGCTGAAATGGACATAGGGGTGCATATATCCTTTCTGATTGGTGTTTCTAGGTTCTTGGGATATAATCCTAGGAGTGGAATTACTGGGTCAAATGGGAGTTCCATTTTCAGGTTTTTGAGAAAACTTTATACTGTTCTCCACAGTGGTTGCACCAGTGCATTCCCACCAGCAGTGCACGAGGGTTCCTTTTTCTCTGCAACCTCGCCAACACTTGTCGTTTGTTGATTTGTTGATGTTGGCCATTCTGACAGGTGTGAGATGGTACAGCATTGTTGTTTTGATTTGCATCTCTTGGATAATTAGTGACTTTGAGCATGTTTTCATGTGCCTTTTGGCCTTCCTTCTGTCTTCTTTTGAAAATATTCTATTTAGGTCCATGGCCCATTTTTTAATTGGATCATTCATCTTCCTTTTATTTAGTTTTTAAAAATATATATTTTATTGATATTTCAGAGAGGAGGAAGGGAGAGAGATAGAGAGCTGGAAACGTCGATGAGAGAGAAACATCGACCAGCTACCTCTTGCACACCACCAACCGGGATGTGCCTGCAACCAAGGTACATGCCCTTGCCCAAAATTAAACCTGGGACCTTTCAGTATGCAGACCGACACTCTACCACTGAGCCAAACCGGCTTCGGCACTGCCTTTTATTTAGTTGTATAAGCTGTCTGTAGATGTTGGAGATTAAACCTTTCTTAGTGATAACATTTGCAAATATGTTCTCCCATACAGTGGGTTTTCTTATAGTTTTGTTGAAAGTTTCCTTTGCTGTGCAAAAGCTTTTTATTTTGATGTAGTCCCATTTGTTTATTTTCTCTTTAGCTTCCATTGCCCTAGGGGCCGTATCAGTGAAGAAGTTCTTTTGGCATATGTCTGAGATTTTTCTGCCTGTGGATACTTCTAGTATTTTTATGGTTTCCCGTCTTATGTTTAAGTTCTGTATCCATTTTGAGTTAATTTTTGAATATGGTATAAGTTGGTGATCTAGTTTCATTCTTTTGTGTGTATCTGTCCAGTTTTCCCAACACCATTTACAGAAGTGACTGTCTTGACTCCATTCTATATTCATGCCTCCTTTGTCAAATATTAATTGAGCATAGTGATTTGAGTTGATATCTGGGTTCTCGATTCTATTCCATTGATCTATAGGTCGGTTCTTGTGCCAGTACCAGGCTATTTTGAGAACAGTGGCTTTGTAATACAGCTTGAAATCTGGTATTGAGATCCCTCCTATTTTATTTATTGTTCTCTGACACATGCCAAAAGAACTTCTTCACTGATACCAACCCTAGGGCAATGGAAGCTAAAGAGAAAATAAACAAATGGGACTACATCAAAATAAAAAGCTTTTGCACAGCAAAGGAAACTTTCAACATAACAACAAGAAAACCCACTGTATGGGAGAACATATTTGCAAATGTTATCACTAAGAAAGGTTTAATCTCCAACATCTACAGACGGCTTATACAACTTTATAAAAGGAAGATAAATAAATGATCCAATTGAAAAATGGGCAATGGACCTAAATGGAACTTACAAAAATAGAGAGTAAAAGAACAATCCCATTTACCATCACACCAAAAAAATTAAGATACCTAGGAATAAACTTAACTAAGGAGGTAAAAGACCTATATGTGGAAAACTACACGACACTAAAAAAAAGAGATAGAGGAAGATGTAAACAGATGGAAGAACATACCATGTTCATGGATTGGTAGAATCAACATCATCAAAATGTCCATTCTTCCCAAAGCAATTTACAGGTTCAATGCACTCCCCATTAAAATACCAATGACATACTTTACAGACCTCTCCAAAAGAACTCGCCAAAAACTCACCATTGGTGTATATAAATGCCGTAGAGTTCTTGGCATTAATTTTGTATCCTGCTACATCGCCAAATTCATTTTTAAGACAATTAGTTTTTTAATGGAGTCTTTTGGGTTTTTTATGTACAATATCATATCATCTGCAAATAAGGATAGCTTAACTTCTTCTTTTCCAATTTGCATGCCTTTTATTTCCTCTTCTTGTCTAATTGCAATGGCTAGTACTTCCAATATTATGTCAAACAGCAGTGGTGAGATTGGGCATCCCTGTCTTGTTCCTGTTCTTAGAGGGAATGGTTTTCGTTTTTGCCCATTGAGTACGATGTTGGCTGTGAGTTTATCATATATAGCTTTTATTATGTTGAGGTATGATCCTTGTACTCCCACCATGTTGAGAGTTTTTATCAGAAATTGGTATTGGATTTTATCAAATGCTTTTTCTGCATCAATTGATATGACTATATGATTTTTTTATCTTTCAATTTATGTGATGTATCACATTTATTGATTTGCGGATATTATACCATCCTTGCATTCCTGGAACAAATCTTACTTGTTCATGATGTATGATCTTTCTGACGTTCTGCTGGAGCACATTTGCTAAAATTTTGTTGAGGATTCTGGAATTTATGTTCCTGAGGGATATTGGCCTGGAATTCTCTTCCATTGTGTTATTTATCTGGTTTTGGTATTAGGGTGATGCTGGCTTCATAGAATGAGTTTGGAAGTGTTCCTTCCTCTTGAATTTTTTGGAATAGTTTGAGGAGTATCGGTTTTAGTTCTTCCTAGAATATTTGTTAAAACTCTCCTGTGAAGCCATTGGGCCCTGGGCTTTTGTTTGCTGGAAGTTTTTTGATGACTGTTTCAATTTCTTCCCAAGTCTCTTGTCTATTGAGATTTTTAGATTTTTAGATTCTTCTTGATTGAGTTTTGGGAGCTTGTATTTTTCTAGGAATATGTCCATTTCCTCCAGGTTGTTCAGTTTGTTGGAATAGTATTTTGTAACAATCGTTTGTATTTCCCCGGGGTCTGTTGTTATTTTACCTCATTTGTTTCTGGTTTTATTTATTTGAGTCTTCTCTCTTTGTTTCTTGGTTAGCCTAGCTAGAGATTCATCAATCTTGTTTATCCTTTCAAAGAACCAGCTCTTGGTTTTGTTGATCTTATGTGTTGTTTCTTTGGTCTCTATGTCGTTTATCTCCACTCTGATTTTTATTATTTCCTTCCTTCTGCTTACAATGGGCTTTTCTTGTTGCTGTTTTTCTAACTCTTTGAGTTGTAGAGTTAGATAATTTGTTACCATGTTTATTGTTTTTTTGCAATAGGCTTGTAGAGATATGAACTTCACTCTGAAACTGCTTTTGCTGTGTCCCATAGATTTTGGGTTGTTGTGATTTCATTGTCATTTGTTTCCAGGATGTTTTTAATTTCTTCCTTGATTTCTCTGGTAACCCAGTCATTGCTTAATAGCATGCTGTTTAGTCTCCATGCATTTGAGTTCTTTGGATTATTTTTATTGTATTGTAGTTAATTTCCAGTTTTATGCCACTATGATCTGAGAAAATGCTTGATATGATTTCTATCTTCTTGAATTTGAAGAGACTTTGCCTATGTCCCAACATGTGGGCTCTCTTTGAGTATGACCCATGTGCACTTGAGAAGAATGTATATTCTGTGGCTTTGGGGTGGAATGTTTTGAAGATGTCAATTAATTCCATTTGGTCTAGTGAGTCATTTAGGATTGATATTTCTTTGCTGATTTTTTTGTTTAGATGATTTGTCCAAAGGTGACAGTGGGGTATTAAAATCTCCTACTATGATTGTGTTGCTATTAATCTCTCCCTTAATGTCCTCCAGCAGTTTTTTTTTTTTGTTGTTGTTGTTTTTGTTTTTTATGTATTCGGGTGCTCCTGTATTGGGTACATATATATTTACCAGGGTTATTTCTTGTTGGATCACTCCCTTTAGTATTATGAAGTGGCCTTCATTATCTCTTGTTATGCCCTTCACTATGAGATCTAATTTGTCAGATATAAGTATTGCTACCCCAGGTTTTATTTTATTTCCATTCGCCCAGAAAACCTTTTTGCATCTCTTCACCCTCAGTCAGTGTGCATCTTTTTTTCTGAAGTGGGTTTCTTGTAGACAAGAGATATATGGGTCTTGTTTTCTTATCCAATCTGTTACCCTATGTCTTTTGATTGGAGCATTTAATCCATTTAAAATATTACTCATAGGTACTTATTTGACACCATTTTTATTCTATACTTATGTGTTCCTTCCTCGCTTCTTATTTCTTTATTTTTACAGTAGACCCTTTAGCATTACTGGTTTGGTGGAGATAAATTCCTTTTTTTGTCTGTGAAGCTCCTGATTGCACTTTCAATTTTGATTGATAGCCTTGCTGGGTAAAGTATTCTTGGATTCAGACCCTTCCTTTGCATGATGTATATTTCATCCCATTCCTTTCTGGCCTGATGAGTTTCTCTTGAGAAATCAGTTGCTAGCCTGATGGGGGTTCCTTTATATGTAACTTTCTGTCTCTCTGGCTGCATTTAAGATTCTTACTTTGTTGTTGTTGTTTGCAATTTAATTATAATGTGCCGTGGTGTCAGTCTTCTGAGATTCATTTTGCTTGGGACTCTGCAAGCATCTTGGATTTATTTTTCTTCTCTATCTCAGGAAAGTTTTCTGTCATTATTTCTTGAAATATGTTTTCCATGTCTTCCTCAGTTTCCTTTCCTCTGGAACCCCTAGTATTCCAATATTGTTTGGTATTGTCCCAAAGTTCCCTTAGGCTCTCCTCCTGCTTTTTAATTTTTTTTTCCAGAAGCTGCTCTAATTGGGTATTTTTTTCCATCTTGTCTTCTATCTCACTGATGTGGTCCTCTGCTTCTTATAGTCTACTCTTGATGCTTTGTATTTAGTTCTTCATAGTAGCAATGTCATTTTTCATTTCTTCTTGGTTAACCTTCATTTCCTCTTGGTTCTTCTTCAATTCCTCTTGGTTCTTCTTCAATTCCTCTTGGTTCTTCTTAATTTCCTCTTGGTTCTTATTCATATCGTCAAATTTCTCTTCCATTCTTTTTAGCCATCCTATGATCATTACTCTGAATTCTTGCTGTGGTAGGTTGCTTGCCTCTAACTCGTTTACTTCCTTCTCTGGTGATGCCTGCTTTTCTTTCATGTGCAGGCTATTTCTTTCTCTTCCCATGGTCTCTCTTTTCAGGATGTCTGGTTATGTGGTATTCCTTCTCCTGTGTTGATTTAAAGGCACAAAATACAACACTACCAGGTACAACACAAAAGACACTGAACAGGTATGTATTTACGATATTAATAGCCCCTAATAAAGGTGACCACTAGAAAAAGGCAAATTAGGGGATATGAGAGAAAGAAGAAAGGTAAAGAGATAGAAAAAGAAGAAAAAAATTAATGTTGAAATGAAGTTGGCAAAAAGGAAAGAGAGGGGGGGGGGAGGGAGGGACAAGAATGAATACAGGCATAAAGAATGAAAATGGAGAGCTCCGCGCCTTGCCGCCGCAGCCCACCGCCTCCCAATCGGCTCCCTCCGCGGCCCCGCAGCATGGCCCCCAAGTGCCCAGCCCCACCAGTGAGGAGATTTTGAAAGTAGAACAGAAATCTAACAAACTCCGCCCACCATTTTTTTCTGAAGAGGTCAGAATTGATTGCCAAAATCCCAAATTTTTGCGTTACAACATTTGTCAACCATCCACAAGTGTCTGCACTGCTTGGGGAAGAGGATGAAGAGGCGCTGCATTATTTGACAAGAGTTGAAGTGACAGAATTTGAAGATATTAAATCAGGTTACAGAATAGATTTTTATTCTGATGAAAATCCTTACTTCAAAAATAAAGTTCTCTCCAAAGAGTTTCATCTGAATGAGAGTGGTGATCTATTTTCAAAGTCCACTGAAATCAAATGGAAATCTGGAAAGGATTTGATGAAACATTCAAGTCAAACACAGAATAAAGCCAGCAGGAAGAGACAGCATGAGGAACCAGAGAGCTTCTTCACCTGGTTTACTGACCATTCTGATGCAGGTGCAAATGAGTTAGGAGAAGTCATCAAAGATGACATTTGGCCAAATCCATTACAGTACTACTTGGTTCCTGACATGGATGATGAAGAAGGAGAGGGAGAAGAAGATCATGATGGTGATGAAGAGGAAGTGTTGGAAGATACCAATGAAGAAGGGGCTGAGCATGAAGGTGAAGCAGATGAAGATGATGATGAGGGGGAAGAAGGAGAGGAAGATGGAAAAGATGACTAATGAACATTGATGGATTCCAACCTTTTTTAATTTTCTCCAGTCCCCTGGGAGCAAGTTGCAGTCTTTTTTTCCTTTTTCTCTCTGCCCCCCTCACCCCCCTTGTGCTCAGTCACCCTGTTTTTGAGGTCTCTTTTTCTCTCCTTTACACCATGGTTCTCACCTTATTTGGGGGGATGTACCTTGAGCAGCATACAGTGGGAAAAGAATCTTTGCCCCTTTCTGTTCCAAATTCATTTTTATCCATTCCTGTCTCAAGAAAAACTTAATGGAATCACCACCACCGTGCTCTGTGGGAAAAAAGAAAAGCCTTCTGCTCCCTTAGCTCTGCTGGGAGCTGGAGGTTGTTAGGCCCCTGTGTAGTAGTGCATAGAATTCTAGCTTTTCCCCCTCCTTTCTCTGTTTATTGGGCTCAGAGATTACACTGTGTCTCTATGTGAATATTGACAGTTAGCATTTACCAACATGTATCTGTCTACTTTCTCTTGTTTAAAAAAAGAAAAAAGAAACTTAAAATAAAGGGGGGGTTATAGAAGGTGAGCAAAGAGTGGGTTTGAGATGTCTGGGTGGGTTAAGTGGGCATTTTGACAACATGGCTTCTCCTTTGGCATGTTTAATTGTGATGTTTAACAGACATCCTTGCAGTCCAAGATGACACTTTTAAAATAAAATTCTCTCCTAATGATGACTTAGCCCTGCCACTCGATGGGAGAATCAGCAGAACCTGTAGGATCTTTTTCGGAATTGACATTTCTCTATTGTAATTTTGTTCCTGTTTATTTTTAAATTTTCTTTTTGTTTCACTGGAAAGAAAAGATGCTCAGTTTTAAACATTAAACGTGTACAAGTTGCTTTATTACAATGAAACTAAATGTGTACACAAAGGATTTGATGCTTTTCTCTCAGAACAGATTTCAAGCTTGACTTGTATAACATATTGTCAGACTTTGTCAACTAAACTCCATATTTTTTGATACGCACTTTGCAGGATCATCTCAGGGCTATGTGGACCGAGTAAAGGGGTTTGAATCAATATATTAATGTCTCCATAGCTGGGAAACATCAGTTTCTGTCAGTGTCTGAAAATTTTCAAATATTTGGAATACCAGATTGCTCAAACTTAGTTCTGAGTATGTTGTACTTTTAATTTTGTATATCAAGTTGGCATTTTAAAAATAGGTCTATATTTAACTGGGTTATAATAACAGTGCCTGCCACCACCACCAGACAGACCTGGTGTTCTAATGCCGAGTTACACAACGGGGCTATTGCTGGCATGTCTTCATTGGCACTATAAAGGTGGCCCAGAAGACAGGCTTGCAGAGTAAGAAGTCTGTATTGGTGGTTAAGAAACTCAGGTTAGGAGTACTTTTGTCTCTTAAGTACCAGCTATTTAGCTTATCGTTCTCAAATGAGACCAGTCTGTGAATCTGGGTGACATGATGGACTCTGCTCTGCTAGATGCCATTCTGCATAGAACAACATTTTGAAAAGCTACCTAATGCCTAAGCTTTTTAACGCTGTAAAATATAGTAGCTGAAATTAAATGCCAGTTAATTTTTTCAGAGATGAATTAATGGGCAGCCTGGTCAAATTCAAAGCTATTTGATGTATAAAACTTTAAAAGTGGAACTATTCCATCAATAGGCAAAGTGTAATAAAACCTATCTAGATGGATAGTATGTAATTTCTGCACAGGTCTCTGTTTAGTGAATTCATCACTGTATACTGGTCAGGAATCTTGCTCCAATAAAGATTTTTTGACTGGGGTCAAAAAAAAAAAAAAAAAAAAGAATGAGAATGGAAATATTAAATAAGTACCTATCAATAACAAACTTATATGTAAATGGCTTAAATGCTCTAATCAAAGAGCGTAGAGTAGGTGAAAGGATAAGAAAACATGACCCACCCAAAACCAGTTTGGCTCAGTGGATAGAGCATTGGCCTGCGAACTGATAGGTAGGTCCCAGGTTCGATTCCGGTCAAGGGCATGTACCTTGGTTGCAGGCACATCCCCAGTAGGGGGTGTGTAAGAGGCAGCTGATCAATGATTTTTCTCTCATCGATGTTTCTAACTTTCTTCTCTCTGTAAAAAATCAATAAAATATATTTTTTAAAAAAAGAAAACATGACCCAGATATATGCTATCTTCAAGAGACCTATCTCAGAACAAAGAACTCATACAGATTGAAAGTGAAGAGCTGGCCGAAACCGGTTTGGCTCAGTGGATAGAGCGTCGGTCTGCAGACTGAAAGGTTCCAGGTTCGATTCTGGTCAAGGGCATGTACATTGGTTGCAGGCACATCCCCAGTGGGGGGTGTGCAGGAGGCAGCTGGTCGATGATTCTCTCTCATTGACGTTTCTAACTCTCTATACCTCTCCCTTCCTCTCTGTAAAAAAAAAATCAATAAAATATATATATTTTTTTAAAAAGTGAAGGGCTGGAAAAAAAATTTCCAGGCAAATGGAAATGAAAAAAAAAATGAAGAAAAAATAGCTGGGGTAGCAATATTCATATCTGACAAAAAAAAAAGACTTCAAAGTGAAGGCCATAACAACAAATATTGAAAGCCACTTCAAACTATTAAAAGAGATTGATACAATAAGAGATATAACTCTGGTAAATATATTCACCCAACACAGGAGGATCCAAATATATATAAAAAAACTTTTGGAGGATAGCAAAGGAGATATGCACAGCAATTCAATCACTGCAAGGGACTTTAATATCCTACTGATATCATTGGATAGATCTTCTAAATTAAAAAAAAAAAAAATCAACATGGTACAGCAATCCCAAATGACACACTAGAACAGATGGGATTATTTGATATTTTCATAATGTTTTACTCAAAAGCTATAGAATACACGTTCTCCTCAAGTGCACATGGAACATTTTCAAAGACTGACCACATGTTAAGACACAAACTAAGTAAAAGTTCAAGATGATTGAAATGATATAAAGTATTTTCTCAGATCATAATGGTATAAAATTAGAAATCAACTACACTAGAAACAATAAAAACCAATCAAACACATGGAGGCTAAATAACATGCTATTAAACAATAAATGGGTTACCAAAGAGATCAAATGGAAAAAAATTTTAAATCCTGAAAACAAATGAAAATGAACAAACAACAAACCAAAATATATGGGAAACAGTGAAAGCAGTCCTGAAGAGAAGTTCATAGCATTGCCACAAAAAAAAAAAAAAAAAAAAAAAAAAAGGAAACCACAGCTGGTGTGGATTAGTGGCTGAGCATTGACCTATGAACTAGGAGGTCACAGTTCAATTCCTGGTCAGGGCACATGCCCAGATTGCAGGCTCAATTACCAATGGGGGGGAGGGGGGAGCATGCAGGAGGCAACTGGACAATGATTCTCTCACATCATTGAAGTTTCTGTCTCTGTCGGTATCTCTTCCTTGCTCTTACCTAAGAAATAAAATAAAATAAAACATTTTAAAATAAGAAAAAGGACTAATAAACTATATAACACTCCAACTTAAAGAATTATTATAGAAACAGAAAAACAAGAAAAGCTCAGTGTACATAGAAGAAAGGAAATAACAAAGATCAGAGCAGAAATAAATGACATAGAGATAAAATAAATAGATACAAAAGATCGGTAAAACCAAGAGCTGGTTCTTTGAAAAGGTAAACAAGATAGATGAACTTCTAGCCAAACTCCTCAAGAAACAAAGAGAGAGGACCCAGATAAAATCAGAAGTGAAAGAGGTGAAGTAACAACTGAAGCTATAGAAATACAAAAGATCATAAAATATATATATATATATATATATATATATATATAGATATACACACACACACACACACACACACACACACACACCACTCTGTTCCAACAAACTGGACAACTTGGAGGAAATGGACATATTCCTAGAAAGATATGATCTTACAAAATTCAATCAGGAAGAATTAAAAAACCTGAATAGGATTCTATGATCCAAGGGGGTAGGGGTGGGGGTGGGGAAGAGAATGACAAAATGACAGCCGAATAGGCAGAAGAATACTGAACCTTATCTCAGAGAAAATAGAAAGAGCATCTATAACAAATAACATTTATCTGGAATTGATGAAATAGACATAGCTGGTGAGACAATGTGCAGCTGGGAAGGGCAGAGGACACCTGGAGAATGGTAGAATCAGGGATCTGGGTTGGAGAGACCAGTGGGCCAAGAATATATGAAGGAACATGCACAGCACCAAGTCAGCATCCCTTGAGGACAGGTGTAACATCTGACTGTGTAAGGGAGGTCCACAGGGTTGCTGGCAGCAGGGGATTCTAGATCTAAGTCCATAGCCACAACAGGATGAGCCCAGAAAGGTAGCCTGAAGATCTGCTTGAACCTAACGGTGGCTGGGAGAAACTTGCAAACACACGGTTGTTTTTGCCTGTGTTGTCTTTACTTTTATTCACTAATCCCAATTTATAAGATCTTTCAAATACAAACATCAGTGGCTGCAGTGAAAGTGGAGGTGCTGATTTGTGGAGTCTAGGAAGAGACTGTGGAGAGCAGGTTGGGGAGAAGTGACCAGGAGTCCAGCACTGAGATAATCCTGACTCTCCAAATTTGAGTGGTTATTTTTCTCTGAGTGAAGAGAAAATGACCACTTTCTAAATGAAGATCCAGCCCCTCCCAGCAGCATCAGGACAGCTAGTGCATTCACATCCAGTCTTGAACTTTAAAAAGGAAACGAAGACTCTGAAGAGCCCTTGGGGAACTGGGTTAAAAGGGGTATTCAGTCACGGAAAGCAATACACCACCTAAAGCACAGTCAGAAATAGACACTAGGGAGATTAAGATTGACAGCAGGCAGAGAGGCAAAACAGACAGATTGATCCTGTCTGTTTACAATCAAGGCTGTGGAGACAGACACAAAGAAAGGAGTGGTGGATTGCTACCTACTTAACAGGAAACTAAGAAGTAGAAGAAAGAACAGAAAAGTGGGGTCTTAAGCCAGCCCTTAAGGGGCAATAAAACTTGGCTGAAGCAAACGGCACTTCACTTTTTTTTACCTTGTATTTAAAATTTTTTTCGTTATTTTCTTTTGTATTTTTGTTTATATTTTATTTTTTGTATTATTATTCTTCATTTATTTAATTACTGGAGGTCCAGTGTACAAAATTTATGCATGGGGGAAGAAGTGTTCCTCAGCCCAGCCTGCAACCTCTCCAAACTGGGACCCTTTGAGGCAGGTGTCTTCAAACTACGGCCCGCGGACCACATGCGGCCCACAGAGGAGTCTGATCCAGCCCGGCAGGTTTTTTGGGCAGTGAGCGCAGCCGAGGTGTTACAGTAGGAATTAGTAGTTCATATAGTCCGGCCCTCCAGCTCTCTGAGGGACCGTGATGTGGCCCCCACTTTAAAAAGTTTGAGGACCCCTGCTTTGAGGGATGTCCGACTGCCCAGTTAGGCCCAAGCCAGGTAGGATCGGGCCTAAATGGGCAGTTGGACATCCCTCTCACAATCCAGGACTGCTGGCTCCCAACTGCTCGCCTGCCTGACTTCCTTATTGCCCCTAACTGCTTCTGCCTACCAACCAGATCACCCCTTAACCACACCCCTGCAAGCCTGATTGATGCCTAACTGCTCCCTGCCAGCCTGTTTGCCCCTAACTGCCCTCCCCTACAGGCCTGGTCACCTCTAACTGCCCTCCCCTGAAGGCCTGGTCACCCCCAATTTCCTCCCTCTGTCAGCCTGGTCCCCCCTAACTGCCCTCCCCTGCAGGCCTGGTCCCTACCAACTGCCCACCCCTGCTGGCCATCTTGTGGCAGTCATCTTGTATCCACATGGGGGCAGCCATCTTGTGTGTTGGAGTGATGGTCAATCTGCATGTTAGTCTTTTATTAAATAGGACAGAGGTTAGGTGTACAGATGGGGGCTGGCTGGTTTGCCCTGAAGGGTGTCCCGGTTTAGGGTTGTGGTTCCCTTGGGGTGTGGAGCAGCCTGGGCGAGGGGCCTGCGGTGGTTTGCAGTCTGGCCACGCACCACTCTTCCACCCCCCAGTGACGCAAGGGAAGTCCCTGGTATCTGGGATTTATCTATCTTCTATAATTGAAACTTTGTAGCCTTGAGTGGAGACCAAGGCAGGTCAGGGTTTTAGGAGCTTGGTTTCCTTCATCACAAGGGACAACTCAAGCTTCCTGCTCTCTCCATCTCCATGGCTGCTGCCATTTTTGTTGGGATTTACTTATCTTCTATAATTGAAACATTGTAGCCTTGAGTGGAGGCCTAGGCTGGCCAAGGTGTGCAGAAATCTTGGCTTCCTCCATTGCTGGGTAAACCCAAGCCTCCTGCTTGCTCCATGGTCACAGCCATCTTGGTTGAGTTAATCTGCATACTCGATCCTGATTGTCCTGTGGGCATTGCTTGTGGGTGTAGTGAAGTGATGGTTAATTTGCATATTGCTCTTTTATTAGATAGTATTATTTTATCTTATTTTCCCCCACATTTTTCTTCACTTCTCCCTCTTTCATTGTGTTTTCCCTTCTCCTGTCTTCATTTTAGTTTTTCTCTTCCCTTTATTTTTACCTCTTGTTAAAAACTGAACTCCTTTATCTGCTTTATTGCCATGTTATTCTTATTGTAATCTCTGTTGCCTTACTCATATATCTAATTTCCTCTATCCTGCTCTAATCCATGAACTCTTCTCCTTTCTATTTATTTGCTAGCCAATTTTTTATGCTCGTTTTTCCTCTTTCCTCTTTTTCTAATTGTTTAATTAGTTTC